AAGTGGACGGGGTCATGCTGTGTGCAGTGTGAACAGACCTGGGTGCATATCAATTTATATGTAACAGAAATGCACCAACTAAAACTAACTTAATAGAAAGAAGACTGTCCAGTAGAGTGAAGGAAGGCAGGGGAGGAGGATGGGGGAGGAGGGAGCCCTGGGGATTGACGTGGGCAGACTGCTGTGTGCACTATGAACATGTCAAATGAACCCCACTGTGGTGCCTTCCTACTCGGCACTGGTGGATATTACACACATGGACTCCACAGCCCTCTCAGGTTTGCAAGAGCTTGAATTCACTGTTACCAGGCAGCAGGGGCTTCTGGAACCTGGTAAGCAAAGGGGGGTTCTTCCCTGATCCTCAACCAGGCTGAGCCCTGGGCTTCCTTCCTGCCCTAGGATCCCCGAGGCCCTGACACAGCTCAGGTCTGCGCCGCCATCAAGGTGAGACCAGGGCTGTGCTCAGGGCTCTTGGGGACAGTCCCTTCCACTCTGGCCTGCTCTGCCTTGGTCTAGTCTTTATCTGCACTGGGACACCCTCAAGGTGTTAATGTCCTGTTTGGACTTTGGCAAATGCTCCCTTAGAGGCTCAGCAGGAGTGCGGTTCCCACACTGAACATGAGGACTTCCATCTTTCAGGGTCTAACGTCTTTCCCAGGAAAGACAGTGGCTCTTTGTGGAGCTGGTGGGACACCAGTCAGTCTGTAGCAGGGCCTGCGTTCTGCCTTGTCCCCTAGATTTACAGTGAGGCCACAGGTCAGGGGACACTCAGCACATCAGAGCACAGGCTGCCGAGGACTCCCTCTGTCTCTGGCTTTACTCTGTCTCTGTGAGCTGGGTCATGACAGCAAAGCTCTGTCGTCAGAGATTAAAATGCACCCACACAGATAGCAGTAACAAAGATGAAGCACTTTATTGCAAGCTGCTGCTATCTTATATAGAAAGTGAGAGTCAGTTATCTTAAACCAGGAAGCTCCTGGGGCCAATCATAGTAAAGGTCAGGTCATCACCTACGGTGCACGCATGTCCGCCCTGCATAAGATTCATCGGGATCACAAACTGTCCACAAGTGCGGAAGACGGGAGGACCAATTAGAGAATTTTCAAAACCACTTGTTATCCGCCCACTGGCAATTTCCCTGCCACCATATTGCATTAGGGGCTCCTTATCTGATAGACCTGGGGAGTTCTTAGGGAAACTCCCAACAGGTCATACATTCAGGACACACAGCCCCTGCTCAGCCTCCTACCTCGGGGAGGTAGGCCCAAGGTGGACCTGTCATCAAGGACAGGCAAAGCAAGGCCTCCCCCAAGGGCTGTGAGCCCTTGCTCTCACTGGCCTGTCCACTCCTCACTACAGAAATCCCACAAAAACATCACCAGTAAAAAGACATGAAATGAATCCTTGTCCTGCACACTTACGGAAAACAAAATAGCAGCTTTCGTGACTGTTCACACCCCGTCCTGAATTATCTCTCCATGAACCTGGCATTCACTCGCCTGTACACGTGATGTGTGTGTCTGTTTCATAGCAGGTGCTCACCTGTGGTGTATGTTTCCCCACGTGAAGACGGTTATTCACTCATAAATAAATTATAAGGAAAAATACTCTAACACATTACTATTAAATATTTTAATCTCTCATTATTTGTGGTGAGATAAATGCAAAATATTTCCATCCCTAATATTCTATTGACCAGTCCTTGACTACACACACCAGAGTCACCTCCAGGATTAACAAAGACCAAATAGAAAACTTGTGGTTATTGAAATTTCCTATGAAATTCTTAGGGGTCAAAAGAAGAGCATTTCCCTCTCTCTCTCTCCCTCCTTCTCTCTCTCCCTCCCTCTCTCTCTCCCCCTCCCTCTCTCTCTCTTCCTCCTTCTCTCTCTCCCTTTCCCTCTCTCCCTCCCTCCCTCTCCCCCTTCCCTCTCCCTCCCTCTACCTCCCTCCCTCTCTTCCTCTCTCCCTCTCTCTCTCCCTCTCCCTCCATCTCTCTCTCTCCCTCTACCTCTCTCCTTCATTCTCTCTCCCCCTCCCTCCCTCTATCTCCCTCCTTCTCCCTCTGTCTCTCTCCCCCTCCCTCCCTCTATCTCCCTCCTTCTCCCTCTGTCTCTCCCTCTGTCTCTCTCCCCCTCCCTCCCTCTCCTCCCCTCTCTCCCTCTCTCTCCCTCTCACTCTCCCTCTCACTCTCCCTCCCTCTCTCCCTCTCCCTCCCTCTCTCCTCCCTCCCTCTCTGTCTCCCTCCCTCTCTGTCTCCCTCCCTCTCTGTCTCCCTCCCTCTCTCTCCCTCTCTCTCCCTCTCACTCTCCCTCTCTGTCTCCCTCCCTCTCTCCCTCCCTCTCTCCCTCTCCCTCCCTCTCCCTCCCTCTCTCCCTCCCTCTCTCCCTCTCTCCCTCCCTCTCTCCTCCCTGTCCCTCTCTCTGTTTATAAGGTGGCTGTTTAAGTCACCTTTCGCATCACTGTGACAAAGACCTGACATGAACAATTAGAGGAGGAGAGGTTTATTTGGCTCACAGTGTCCGATGCCGCAGTCTGGCTGGGCACAATTCACAAACCACTTGTCAAGCAGAAAGGAACTTTATTCTTAGAACACACACACCACCCGACAGCTCTTCAGGAATTCCCTGGGAGCCCAACTGCCACCATGGCTTCCCACAAGCCTCTCAACTCCCCCCTCCTCCTGCTCTTGAGGCCGATTGGCTGGGTCACATGGGCGGAGCCAAAAGAGTCCCCCAATGAGCAGCTCTGGGGTCTGAAAGGGCAGGGAAACAGCCCAATGAGCATCACCGCAGAGGAGCCAATCAGCTGGCAGCTGGAAGTTTGCTGGGGCCCCTTGGGCTGTGGCTCTCAACAGTCCGAGGCCTCAGTTCCCAGTGGCCAACCCCACTGCTCTGGGCCCCAGAGGAGGAGGGCATCATGGCAGAAGGGCCTGGGGCAGGAAGGCAGCTCAGGACGCAGCAACAAAGCAGCAGACACAGCGTCTGCCCACCAGGGACCAGACAGAAACCCACAGGACAGCCCCAGGGACCCCTCCTCCAGCTGTGCCAACCTGCCCACAGTTATTGCCCAGTTACCAGTCAGGGCATTAAGCCTGGGATCAAGTTACCAGGTGCCACAGGACTCCTCCCCTGATCATGTCACCTCTGAAAGCTCTTGCATTGTGTCCTACGTGAGCTTCTGGGGACAAGTCACATGTAAACCATGACAGGTGCTGACATTCTTGACTTTAGTCTTAAGAACAGGCTGCGTATGCTCATTCTGGAGACTAAGAGGTGTAACAGGCCGACCACCAAGAAGGAGGCTGGGGCCTGGGGATTGGGGAAGAGAGTTTCTTGATCCTGGGCCGAGACCAAGACTGAACCCGGGAAAATATAAGAGTCAAACAGACTTAGAACATTCTTTATATCTGCTGTTTGAAAATGATTCCTGCTAAGTGTGAATGTGGTACATCAAGAGAAATAAGCCTGGGAGGTTAGGACACAGGGGTGTATGGCCTTGTGTTCTAAGGACTCCAACTGTGAGGTTTTCTTGTGGATCCCTACATTTGCTAGGGAAAGGGAGAATTCACATTTGGGTGATTTTACGCACTTGAATTCATGCCCATAGAAATAGAGCCCGAAAAGCAGCCTCAGAAAAACCATGAGGAGTGTGAGAAGGTAGAGGGAGAGTGAGTCAGTGAAGGGGAAGGGAAAGGAGGAGGGGAGAGGAGGGATGATCACAAGGGGATGCACCATCCTGCAGGGAGGAGGAGGGGAGGGGGAGAGGGAGGGAAGGGGAGGGGAGGGGGAGGGGAGTTAAGGGGAGGAGGAGGGCAGGGGGAGGAGGGAAGGAGGAGGGACAGAGAATAAGGGGAAGGAGGCAATGGAGGAGGGAGGGGAGGAAGGAGGAGGAGGAAGAGGAGAGGGAGGAGGAAGAGGAGAGAAGGAGGGAAGGAGGGGAATAAGAAAAGAGGAGGAGAAGGAAGAAGGAGGGCACTAGAGAGAGGGAGGAGGTGGAGGAAGAGGAGGGGAGGGGAGGAAGAGAGGGAGGAGGAGGAGGAGGAGGAGGACAGGGCAGTGGGAGCACCTGGAGGGGGGTTCTCTGAGGACCCTGAGGACAAGGAGGTGTGAGCTGGGGACCCCCCCTCCGTCCCTGGGAGCTGGGTGAGTGAGGACCCCCTGCCGTCTGTCTTTCCCCTCCAGGTCTCCATGCCCCTGGGTGTGGGTGCCCCTCGCCCACCCCTGCCCTCCCTGTCCCTCCCTCTGGTCCTCTGTCTCTAGGTCCCCAGCTCTGCTCCCACTGGGCTCCTGGGTGGCTCCAGGTCTGCGCTCCCCTTTCCACAGACCCTTCCCTGAGGTGGGCAGGGGACCCCTGCAGGCTGCCACTCAGCCCAGGTCATGCTGCTGCACAGAGGGGTCCCAGCCGGGTGTGAAAATCAGCAGGAAGGCAGGTGACATGGGGCTCCCCAGGGTCACCCCAGCACATTTTGAACTTTATTGTAAGTTTCCTTTGATCAAAGTCACTTCGTTTCTGTGCGTCATCAGCGGGATGCACTTTCCCATCACACATTTGCTCACTTGCCTTGTGACTCCTCTCCCCTTGCCTGTTGGTGACTAGGAGAATAAAATGGCCAAACGTGGCACGTGGTTGGGGACCAGTTATTGTGACTGGGAATCAGGTGACGTCCAGCAGGTCGCAGATGCTCCTGGCCATGCATGTCAGGCCCCAGGCTGGCCGTGACACCCAGCTGCATGTCCATGGGCTGTCTTGTGCCTGCTGGGGTCCCCGTGTCCCTGTCCTTGCAGCGTGGGATCTGAGTGGTGTCCTGGGCTAGTGGAAGGCCAGGGTGGTGTAGACACTGGGCGCAGTGGGAGGCTCCTGTCCCTGAGAGGAAGGAGGACTGGCTGTCCCCTGTCTGAGCTTGAGGTAATTCAGCTGGGCGTAGGTCACAACTTGGGAGGATTCAGATGCAGCCACCTGGAGTGAGGACAGAGTGGTGACAGGTGAGGCTGGTGTCTGGGGAGCCTGGGCCCTGGAGGGTACAGGACCCACATGACACCCTTCAGGCTGTCCTCTCCCTCTAATGTGTCCTTCATGACCAGGAATGGCCTTGACTCAGGGGATAAGTGGACACTCCACAATGGCCCTGATTCTGGGCACAGGTGACAGCCCAGGGGTCTTCATCTACAGGGCTCTATGGAGAGGACAGAGGCAGGTGATTCCTGAGTCCACTCTGGCTGATGCCCCTCACCTCCCACAGGGAGCTGGAGGGACCTGCAGCCAGCAGTCAGCTCTCCACGCCCAGCAGAACTTCCAGGGGCTTCTCAGGCTCTGCCAGAGCAGAGGCACCTGCAGGACCAAGCCTTGCCCACCTCTGTCCTGCCACCTGTCACACCTGCTCCTCCTGCATCACCTTCAGCCACCTGGACTCGTGCCTGCTGGACAGGTCAGCCTGTGCCCACTGGCCTCACACTGCTGCTTCCTTGGCAGGACCCTCTTCCTGAGATGCTCTCAGGCCTGTCCCTGTGGTGAGGGCTCTGTCCAGGGTCCCCCCAGGGAACCCTCCTTGACTGTCCAGTTACCCCTCCTGCTCCTGCCCATGGCCCTCCGCCCACCTGGCTCTGTCCTGGGTTCACAGCCCTCTCCCTGCCTGGTCTCCCCACGCCTGTCTGCCTCTGCCCCGTCTGTCTGTCCTGGGGCTGTCCTGTGTCTGAGCACCAGACTGTGTTTGCTACTGCTGTCCCCAGACCCCAGTAGAGCCTTGCCAACAGCAAACCCCAGGAGTCGGCCATCTGTGTGGCTGGGAGGGGCCAGTGCAGGGCAGGGCTGTGGCCAGGTCCACCTCCTACTCAGGAGCAGGGGCCGTGAGCTCAGCAGGGGAGGAGGCAGAGGAGAGAGGCCAGCGCCCAGGACTCAGGGCAGGAGGCCGACCAGAGCCCATCAGCACAATCAGCTGGGAGGAGAGAGGAGGGCAGCGGGCACAGAGAGGAGGGCGGGGGAGAGGACGGGTCACCTGGTGGCCTTGGGTGGCCTCTGGGGAGGTGACAGCAGTGCTGAGCCCTGTGTGACGAGAAGAAGGCAGACCTGTGAGGCCCCCACGGGCTCTTGCTGGGCCTCCTGGGTGGTCCTGCTGCTCAGGGTGACAACCAGGGCTTCCCATCTGTGTGCCCTGAGCACAACTGGCTAATTCCCCTGGGACGCCACAACGTCTCCCCCTCCCCACTCACCTGCCTTCCTGCATTGTCCCCGACACTGGTGTCCCAGGAGGAGGAAGAGGAGCAGCAGGAGGAGGGGAACCGAGACCCCCACCAGAATCGGCAGGTGCCTTCCCAGTCCTGGGCACAGGTGTGGACGAGGAGCCACGCTGCTTACCTGAGCACCTACTGTGTGCCACCCTGCTGGTCTTTCCACCTGTCACCTCCAGCCCTGTCACTCAGGCATCATGGCCCTGCCACCCACTCCCCCAGGCACAAACGAGGAAACTGAGGCTCAGAGAGGGTCCCCTGCCCAGTCACCCAGCAGGAAGCAGCAGAGCGGGGCCTGAACTGGGGGAGTCTGACTCCCAGTCTCCTTCTCTCCACCAGAGCTCAGCCCTGAGCTGGAGGGAAAGAGCCTGACACCCCGATGGCCCTGAGCCCCTCCCCTGCTCAGTGTCACTGTCACTGCACAGAGGGAACAGGGCCCTGCAGATTCAGGTCCTGGAGGCTTCCCTGGAGGCCCCTCTCCCAGCAGGGCACAGCCAAGGTCAGCCCTGAGAGGCACTTGAAGGTCAGGGCCAGGCCTCTCCTCTGCCCTGGGAGAAACTGAGGCCCAGAGGGGAGGGGCTGGTCCCCGTCAGCATCTCCAGAGGGGGCTGCTCCCCCCTCAGCTCAGACCTGCCCTGGACCCACCTCCCACCAGAGCCCCTCACTCACCACTCTGGGGTCCTGGGTCCGTGGGGGTGAGGGGCTGGTCCTCAGGGCCTCCTGGGGAGGGTGGGAGGTGAGGGCTGGGCTGCCTGCCCCCCACTTCAGCTGGCTGCTCCTCCCCAGGCTGGACCCAGAGTCACCTCTGCCTGGACCTCCCCCTCACACCTCCCAGCCCTGAGCCCCAGGGCCTGGGGTCCCTGACCATTCTCTGCAGTGCCCTGGACTCAGCTTGGCTGAGTTTGTAACTGGACTTTGTAGCTCAGAGTGATTCTTGGTTGCCCAAGAATGCAGGACACTGTCTGCACAGAGGCCCCTGAGACTCACCAGCTGGTGACCTGGGTCCTGAGGGTGGGGGGCTGGGTCCCCCAGAGGGTCCTGGGAATGGGGAGAACAGGAGGGTGAGGGGTGCAGGTTGCCCCTGGGGACTGTCTCTGCCCATCCTCCTACACCTGCCTGGCCTCCCCAGGACCCTCCTGTGCCCACCTGCACCTTCCTGATTCCAGTGGTGGGTGGGTGCACAGGCTGGAGGACCCCGTTGGCCCCTCCTCTCTGAGGGGTGAGTCCCACTGGCCGACCCTCCCTAGGGCCCCTCACTCCCATCCCACCCAGAGCTGTCCTGGGCAGGGCCCTGAGGGAATCCTTGAGCTCACAGAGGATGGGGTCAGGGTCACTCACCTGAGACCCCCAGGTCCAGGGGGGCACTGGGCCGTGACAGCAGGTAGGGGGATGAGCTGTGAGAGCCATAGCACCTGTAGGTCCCCCCGAGGGCTGGGGTCACAGCTCTCATGGAGAACTCTGCCTGGTGCCATGGGGCTCGGTACTCTGCTCTCAGACGCAGGGGGGGATCAGCTGCCCCCTCCTTGCACAGGAGGAAAGTGTCCATCTTGATCTGTGACTGACACAGCAGGGTCACGTTCTCCCCTGAGGACACTGTGGGACCAGGCTGCACTGAGAGGGAGGGTGTGACAGGGAGCTGTCCTAGAGAGAGGAAGGAGGGTGAGGGTGGCCCCAGCTTGTTCTGAGCTGAGACCTCCCCAGGGCCTCTCTCTGAGGACCCTGTGCTCTCTGTCTGTCTCATTGTCTCTGATTCTTCCTGTCCCTGTGTCCCCCTGTCTCTGTCCTCTCTGCCCCTCCCTGTCTGTCTCCCTCCTGAGACCCCACACCTCACCCTGGCCATCACCTCCTGGGGCTCCCCAACAGGGCTGTGCAGAGGCTGGGTCCCTTACTGCACCCCTGGGATCCTCACCTGTGACCACAATGTTAAGGGGGTCATTGGGGGCTGACCACTCAGAGGAGAGGCTGTGTCCACCATAGCATCTGAAACAACCCCTGTGTGGGCTGCTCTCAGGGCCCAGCAGGAAGTCGGCCTGAGAGAGCCCAGCCTGGGGCTGCTGGGCAGGGCACTGGGGGAGGTCCTGTGCCCCTTGTTGGACAGAGCAAATTGGTCATAGCCAATGTCAGTGTGACACTGAGGGCCAGGTTCTCTCCAGGGGCAGGACAGGGCCCTGCTGGGTCAGCAGGGAGGACTTCCTAGTCACTCCTGGAGGAAGAGGAGCCTGGGCTGAGGGCTGGACCCTGCCAACCCCCTGCCTCCCCCGTCCTGCCTGCAGGTCACACTCTCACACCCTGAGTCTCTGCCCACAAGGTCGCAGCCTCACCAAATATTGGAATGAAAGATGGGAATTCCTTACCTGAGACCAGGAGGTCCAGGGGGTCACTGGGTTCTGACCACACCTGGGGTTTGCTCCTATCATAGCCATAACATGCGAATGTCCACCTGTGGGTGGGATTAACAGGACCCACTGGGAACTGGGCCTGGAACTGCCCACTGGGTTTTTGCTGTGAGTCCAGGGTCCAGTTGAGGTGGTGTTCTCCTTCCTTCATCAAAATAAAGCTGTCAAATTCCTTCCATGAGCCACACTGGAGGGTCACCTTCCCTCCTGAGGTCACCACAGGGCTGGGCAGGGCTGAGAGGCTGGGTTTGCTGTAGAATCCTAGGAGAGAAGGAGGCAGGTGTTCATGGCTCCCCCCTCCCCCATTAATGGGCTGTGAGACGGACACCTGGGGTCAGACCCCTTTCCTTAGGCAGAGCAGGGGCCGGACCCCTGAGTGTCCACTCACCTGTCACCACCAGCTCTAGGCGTTCACTGTTCTGTGAGGAGCCAGCAGGGCTCTGATAGTAGCATTGATACCCTCCTGCATCCTGCGCAGTCATGGTGGGGATGGGGAACATGGCCCTGTTCCCTGGACCCTGTAAGGGTCTTCTGCATGTGGGTCTCCAGGGTTTTTCCTTAATGAGACAGTTCCACTTGGCGTCCAGCGATCCCTGACACCAGAGGGTCACTGACCTTCCACGGGGAATGACAGGGCCTGGTTCCGCCCACAGGTTGGGCTTAGGGAGGGTCCCTGCAAGAAAATGAGAGGCTGGGTCCTGGCCTGTCCCTACCCCAGGTCCCACTGCCCTACCTTGTCACCACCCTCCGCCCAGGCTGCTCTCTAATCTCCTGCGACCCCAGGGTTGAGCCTGGGCAGGACGTGGGCGGCTAGCAGGGCACTCACCTGAAGACACCCGGGGGCTCTGTTGCAGACTCAGACCTGGAAGAGAGGTCCCCGTGAGGAGCTGGCATCTGGGTGTGGGCCTAATATGTCCCTGTGGTGCCAGCAGCCATTTGGTGCCATATGGACTTAAAACCTGTGGGTTGCCCGAGAACTGGCACTTGGGACCCTACCCACCCAGCCTGTGTCCCTCCCTTCACCAACACTGACCGAGGCAGAGGAGGACAGGCAGGGTGGACCTCATGCCGCCTGCTCTGAAGACTTCAGAGTCCAGAGAGGAGAGTGCAGGCCCTGCAGGTCAGACAGCACAGAAGTGGTAAGCTGGGGCTGCTGCTGGCCCCTCGTCCCCAGAGCTGCGCACCCACCGGATGGGGACGTCCCCTCCTATCTTGTGTCTGGTTTCCCCAGGGCAGGGCTCAAAAAGATCACACCCCTTGGAGACATCTCAGCAAAGAACTGAGGTCCCCGCTGACCCTGAGGCCCTCATGACTGACCTGAATGCTGCCCAGCCAGGCCCCAGGCCCCACCTGAGTCGGCCCCACACAGGCTGACTCCAACCCAGGATAATGTCCTCAGAGGATCCAGGAAGGGAATGTGGGGGTCACTCCTAAACCAGGAGAAACATGACCCGCTACTGGGCAGGTGGGTGCCAGGCTCCAGAGGTCCAGCATGGTGGAGGCCTGCACCCTGTCATCTGGGAGCTGGACCAGCTGAAGGAGCTCAGGGCTATTTCCCAGTGCAGCCCACCATGGCGCAGCCTGTGCAGGAGCAAACCCCTCCCTCAGCTGCTCTGGTCTATTTAAGTTGATGGTCTCTGGTGTTTTGTTGCAGTAGCGCAGAGCTGACTGACACAGCAGCTGAAATGAGCGAGCCCTCCTCCCTGCACCAGGTCTCCGTGCTGCATGTGAAATGTTCTGTTCTGGGGTGTGGGGGAAGAGCCGTCCCATCTGCTCTGGGGTCCATGCTCCAGCCTGTCCCACCATCAACAGAGCGGCCTGGCTGAGAGCTGAGGTGGGCGTCACCACCCCTGAGCCTGGCTTCCTTGTAGGAAAATGCTCTTCAGCCTAAACTGGATGCTCCACACTGTGCCAGGTCGGGGGGACCCTCCTGTGGGGCCTCGGGAGCTCTACCTGGCTCATCACTTCCTGTGTGTCCTGGCTGCAGGGTCCGCACAGCAGGGAGGGGACGGCTGAGGTGAGACTGCACAGGGGAAGGAGGCCACAGGACTAGGGTGGCAGCTGAGGTGAGGGCTGCAGATGTCACCTCCTGTCCTTCACGGGGTCCTCCCTGGCCTCTGGGTCTTCAAGGCAGATGTGTGGGGTGAAGGGGGAGCCAGGCCCTTAGCATGTTCTCCTGGTCCTCCATCAGGACCAGAATGGGGCAGGGGTGTGCCTGAGGTTGCTCAGCCCTCTCCCCTGAGATCCTGACAACTTACCCCACATCCCTCAGGCCAACCTCCACCTCCCCATTGTCCCCTCTAATCCAGGCCCCATCCTGCCACATTGCCCATAGACCATCTCCTTTTGCAGGTCAGCAACCCTGGGCCTGAGGAGCATTAGGGTGGGCAGCCAGTTAAGAGAAGTCCAGGGGTCCTGGTGTCCACCATGGTCCTCAACACCCCACAGGTCAGCCTGGGGAAGTGGACCTCACCTCTGCACCATTCACCCCATTAGCTCTCATGACCCCGTCCTGGCCCCTTTGGACCTGGGTTTGATGGAACACCAGTGACAGTTAGCACAGAGGACAGTGCCAGGGAGACCAGCTACCCCATGTCCACTGAGGGAGTCAGCTTGGGGGCCATCCTGTAGGACCTGGTGCTTCTATCACAGCACACCCCTGAGCACCTGTGCTGGTGGCTGTGTGAGGGGACCACAGTGGCCTGCAGCGTGTGCTGGCTCCTGAGTCCCCAGCCCTCACCCCCCAGCCGCTCTCTCTATTCCAAGAGGCACCCCCAGGTCCAGGAGCAGTGGGCACCTCTGTGCAATCAGGGAGCCAGGAAGGGACATGGACGTCTAGCCCAGGTCCACCCACATTCCAAGTGCTCTTTGCTGCTGCCCTGGGAAGAGGCGGAGATTCTGGCCAGAGCAGGAAGGTCGTCCACCTCCTGGGGCTGAGCACTGTTTCCCCTGCTGCCCCTCAGCCCCCACAGGTGCACCTCCTGAGAGCCAAAGAGTAGGTGGCCAGAGGTTGGGGACAGGTCCAGTGTGGGCTGCTATGATCTCAGCCTGCTCTGAAGCTTCCTCCCTGCAGGAGTGGCCAGGGTGGGGCAGGGGAGGATCAGGGGCAGCAGCAGTGGGCTCAGGTGGACACATGCTGAGCAGGGGCTGCTCCTGGACCCTGCTGTTATGGGAGCACATCTGAATCTGTGAGCCCTCCTCAGCTCAGGGGCAGGAGGAGGCGTCTCAGCCTCACGTCCTGGTCCAGGAGTGGATTCTCCCTGAGTTCAGTGACTAGGACACCAGCCCCAGGACTAGAGTCCAGTCTGACTCTGACCCTTCCATGTTCAAGGACTCTGTCTCCTCAGCTCCCTGCCAGCTCCACTGCTGTGGCTCTGGTGGGGTGCCCTGTGGACACTGCGTGGACATGGAATGGGCTTGACGTCTCCCACCTGGGACCCTGAGCTCCAGGGGTCTCTGTGTGAGGAGCTCTGCGAGGGTGAGTCCTGGTGAGGAACCACTCACTGCAGGTGCCCGAGGGCCAGGTGACAGGCTCATGGGAGCTGTTGGGAAAGGTCCCCTCCGGAGCTCAGGAGGAGGCCCCACCTCCTTGGAGTAGCTCCCCCAGGACACCCTGAGGCTGGCGTGGACGGTGCAGGGTCAGAGCCTGTGAATTCTGATAGAAGACCAGGAACCAGCAAAAGCCCTAGAGTGACATCCCCCAGATCAAGCAAAACAAGACAAAATTGAAGCCCATTTAAAATTCTTCTTCATCAGAAAGTGCTCAAGGTCTGCAGGTCACTTGCTGCTGGTCAGTCCCTCTGACTGCACCAGGGGCACCCTGAGCTCAGCACCCTGTCTGGTGGAGACCCTCAGACAGTGCCTGGTCCCCAGGGGGTCTCTGTGTCCAGCACTGGAGCTTCCCTGCTCACCAGGTGACCAGCCCACCCTGGAGACCCCAGAACGTGAACACCTCAGACTTTTCCAGATCTGGCTGAGGCCAAGGAGGTGTCCAGGCAGGTCTCAGAGGAGAGTGGGAGCCTCAGTGTCCAGTGTCCTTTTCCTTTGCTACCAGAGGACCAAGAGCACCCCACACCTCCTACCTGGGAGAAATCCTCATGTTTTTCCAAAACCACAATCTGCGACTGGGAGGATCCTTGTGTGTCCCTACATCAGGTGGCTTAGATGGAGCACTTGTGGGATATCACACAGAGGTAACCCATGTTGACTCTGCCCTCCCAGGACTCTGTCTGTCCCTAGTGTTGGCCGTGGCAGGTCACCCTGGGCTCCTCAGGGCATGACCTCAGCTTCCCAGGGCTCCCTCCTCTGGCCTGGGCTCTGGAGGCCCAATGTCTTCAGGGGGGACTTTCCACCATGTCCTCTGCTGCCTCCCCCCCCCCAGGGCACAGCAGGGACAGGAGGTGGGTGAATTGGGGCCACACTGGGGCCAGGATGCAGGAGCTGAGGCATGAGCAGGATGTGGCCACAGGACCTTCACACCCTGCAGGGTTGCTTCCTCCTCCCCACAGCAAGGTGACCAGCTCCTCTCCCCAGCAAGGGCCGGGGGTGGGCAGCTGCAGATGAGGCCTGGGTGCAACCACAGCCCTGCAAGGCCCCGCTCCACCTCCTGCTGCCTGCCCCTGTGTGCACACTGCAGGCTCCACGTGGCCACTTACGTCCAAGGAGACATTTCAATATGTCTCAGCACCTCTCTTGGTCTGTGGGATCAATGGATTCCCTGCCACAGCCCAAGGTGACGAGGGTGCTCCTATGGAGCATGAACGGGTCCCTGGGTGCTCTGTGCTCCTGCTCCTGTCGTGTCCCACAAGGTGTCCAGGTCAGCAGAGGTGGGGGTCCTTGACCTGCTTTGCATCCTGGGCGTTCACTGTCACAGGTCCTTCCCTTTCCCATAATCTGGGAGCCGTCCCTGTTCAAGTGACTCTGCCTTCTTGACCTTCATGTCCTCTCATTCCTTTGATATCTTTTGTTTGTTTGTTCTGATTTCTTTGTGGCCCTGAAGGTGGACCCAGGCCCTAGGGGTGCTCTGCAGGCCTGTCCCATGAGCTAAGTCCTGTCCAGTCCTGTTTAGTTTTTATGTTGAGTTATGAGGTTCCTCAGTTCCCCAGGTGGCCTTCAACTTGCCATCCTCCTGCCTTGGCCTCCAGAGTCACTGGAGTTAACGTCCTGGGCCCCTGTGCTGGGCTGGTCTCTGTAATACCTTTTAAGGATTCAGTGTTTCCATCCATCTCCTCTGTCTCCTACTATAATCGAAACGAGTAAAACATCCTCTTCTAGCTGATGACATTATTGCGTTCTTGTTGCTGACTTGCTGTGTCGACTTTGAGAGATTCAGTTAGATAACCGCTCAGAGACCAGGGTGCACATTTGTCTCCCTCAGCTCTGGATGATCTGTCTTTCTACCCCAGGTGCTTCATGGTGCTGTGTTACCTGTGTCTTTCATGAATGCCGTGGAAGTTCAACTCTGCTCAGTGCTGAGGGCTCCCTAAGCCTGGAGGGATGAGCCCTCTGCAGGTGGCCACAGGAGTAGGCAGAGCCCAGGGTGGGGCCCTTGTGACAGGGGTAGAGGGCAGTACATCTCCCACCAAACCTGCTGCTCCTGGTGCCCAGTGGCCGACTCCTCCGACAGACCATTATCTCAGAGGAGGACGTGGACAGCACAGAGAGGGAGAAGCTCCCCTTTCAAAGCCCTGTGGGGCCTAGTGAGGCTTTGGGCTCCTGAGGTCCCAGCTACTCAGAGGCTCAGGAGCCCAGGGATGTCTTGATCCAGGAGGCCAGTGTGGGCAGCACAAGAGTCCTGCCTCAACAACAAGCAAACCCTCAGCAGATACAGTGTGAAGAGCAGAGACCAGCTGCTGTCCCACTGGGTGGGGCTGGGTGACGGCTCCCCGTGTCGAGGTCCTGGTGTCCACCCCCGCCCTGACAAAGACAGGCCTCGAGTACCAAGTGGAACCTGAAGGCTGTGTGAGCTTCAGAATCAGAATGAGACAGGAAATAATAAGTTCTGAACAAAAAAATAATAAAATAGAGAAATAAACAAATTCACAGTATCTATGAAACAAAGGGTCAGCCTTCATAAAGATAAACGAGACTGACCAACCCTTTGCCAGAATGACCAAAATAACCAGA